TGCAAGAGGAAACAAGCAAATATTAAGGTAAGTCATGGATATAGCGGTCAAGAATACTATGGTAAGTCGTGTATATAGGAATTAGAATGAATTAGAATGAATGATATTGTAATGAGTTGTTTGTTTGTTCAGTGATGGATTTCCCCAAGCAATGTAAAGGGCTTCTTTTATTTTAAGTTGATAAGTATTGTGGGTGGAGTCAGTCTGAATTATACGTGTTTTGACATTTAACAGAATTTTGAAGATGTTGAAATATGTGTGATGACTTGTCCCGAACTAAATGCTCCTTAATCCTGACTGACCTTTCCAACAGATATGGAGGTAAAATCAATGTGTATATATATATATAAAAGTGATTTACCAAATTATAACTCGTGTTCCAACCAACATTTGCAACATCTATGATGTGACTTATATCAAAGGCAAAACCATATTCAATGCACTGTCGTCTCGCGATCTCGATAGATTTTTTTTATAATACTAGAGAATTTTTAATATTTATCACATTTATAAATGATTCTATGTTATGTACAAAAACATCTCAGAATTTATTTTTTGACAATAAAGTTGACTTGTATCTTGTATCAAACCCTAATACCCACTATAAGTCATGTGACCCGAGCCACCAATTCGGTCTATTATGATGTAATGTGACCAATGAGGAACGTAGGTAATATAGAATGCTCTGTTCTAGGGCTCGTGTATATATGATGAGAGGTTTTTCTTCTGGGGCTTTTTTGAAGCACATGTAATGTGAAGCGCTTAGAGGCATTGTGCATGAAGCGCTATATAAGAGCGACATATTATTATTATTATTGTGCTGTTGTGAGACCGGATTCTTGTTGGAGCTTACACAGAATAAAAGTTTATTTGAGAATTGTGTTACAACATTGTGAACTGTGGTTATATTTTATATGTCAAAGAGGGATTCCTAGTCATTTCTTTACCACTCGGAAATACATCAATTAGTGATTCATGACAACAATATTTCATAATTTCAAAAAATGGGATATTATGTAAACTGAGAATGATAAATCATTTCTCAAATTTTATAAAATTGGTAAATTCCTTTAACAAAAACAATTTAGTTACATAAGATTTAAATATCTTAAATTAATTATTTACAAAATTAATATTTTGCTTACTCTTCTGAACTTTCTTTGTGATCACTCGTCCAAAAAAGTCTGTGGCAGGCTAGAAAAAAAAAATATTACAAAAGATTAACATCACAAAGGAAAATCTTAGCTCAGCAAAAGACACAGAAACAAAAACAATAACTTTCCCTTCTTAGGATTTGAATTCCTTTGATGTGAAAGACATCAAGGGTAACAGTGGAGTACTTTGAATTGTGTATCAGGCAGCAATCTGGAGAAAATCTCCTTTCTATTCTTCATTGTGCTTAATATAAACACCTCTTAAGCACTGTCTCCAGACTATCAAATTTTCTTTTACAAAAAACTGATGTATGACCATATAAAGTCATGATGTGCCTATATATGGTCATGATGTGATGTCATCATGACCATATTTAGGCATTTCACATGTTTTTGTCAAACAAAAGTTGATAGTTCTGACAGGGAATTTAAAAAAAAGTGTGCTTTTGTAAATCGATTTCAGAATTCAAGAATGAAGACAGTATCAAGGGAATTCAACCGGGACACAATGTCATGAAGGAGTTCACATTTGAATGAAGTCGTCTACCCAGTGGCATAATAAAGGGTCCCGGGGACAAGAAAGTGTGGGGGGGGGGGCATCCTTTTTAGCAGTCGTTTATTACGGGCCTTTCACAGTGGAATATTACTATAATTAAAATTCTTCTTTAGTACCCCTTATTTCATTATTGACATTCAGGTATTGATATTGTATAAAAGAAGTGCTGCCATAAAGTCCATTTATGAGAAGTTGCTAGTTTTTAGTGTCTTCTACTAGACCATAATGTCAAGTGTGCTGTTTAGGGAGGATCGTCTGGGGCCCAGGGGCTTTGCCCCACTCCGAGCCCCCACTGTGCTTACCCCCAGTTCAGCGGCTGAACTGTCCTCCTTTATGAGAACTGCCAGAAGATTTTTAAAAACTTACCTTGTCTTCTTCTTCAACCACCTTCTTTGGTTGCAGCTTCTCCAGATGCCTTGGAACAACTGGTTTCTTCTTATTACCAATTTTAGTTTCTTTCGAGGGTTCTGCATTTTTTCTAGTAATTAAATAAACAACATTCAATGCAAGTCTCCATAAGTGCTAAGGAGGACGAATGACTACTGATTGTTTTATTCCGATATAAACTTTCTTCATGCTTATAATTCTACATTACAAGCAATCACACTTGCAGTTCACTAACTGCACTGTGTTAAAAAATATATTGTCTGCAATAACCTACTTTGTTAGTTTATTCATAAAATGTTAAAATAGAAAAATGAAGACTATTGTTAGGGAGACAGTTTGTACATGGCGCCCTGGGTCGGACTATGCAATTTTCAGTTCAAAGGGGTGTTCCGATTCAGGAACAAAGACAATTTGTGAAATCTCACCAGGAAATGTGACGCATCGTTGGTAAAATCATAAAGATATTCAACAAAATAGGTCATAGTCAATGTTTCTGAATAAATTGATTCTTATATTTTTATGTATGCATATTAAGTGAATTTTCTTACTAAAACAGTGTTCTCTGCGCTTATTCTGTAATTCTAGTCCTATTATTTTTACCTGTTAGTTTATCTTTGAGGACAATTTTCTCAGAAGGTGGTTCTCATACATTTAAATTTTACATGCTCACATCTCTGGATCTACTTATCCTAGGGAAGCCATTCAAAGACCAAATTAAAGCTCACAATGTAATCTACCCAAATACAATATAAAATCAATTTTTGATTTTTTAACCATGAGACCATTTTTGTGGTGAGGCCTCACATTTATGCCAGTAAGTATTCACTGAATAGACTTAGTTAATAAGCATTCAAGTGAAAATTATAAGCACCTGTTTTCCTTGAAAAATAACAAATGTCGAAATAAGGCAGTTCCTATATCACCACTTACATTTTGGCATCTGGTTTAACCTCTTCAGATCTTCGAAGTTTCTCAACTTCAATCTAAGAAAAGATTAAATGGCATAGATGTATTTTCAGTAAATGCTTTGAAATTTGATTTTTGCCTGAAAGATGAAATTATAATTTTATGTATTTAAATACAGACAATATTTGTCAGGGAGACCTTCTATTTAACCCAAATAATTTGAATGAATATATATACACAAACTGAAGCAGTTATTAAGAGAGAAGTTGATATTAATGGGGCTTGCCATGCCAAAACCAGTGACTATTTAATTAATTCATATTCTCTACATTATAAGCTTCAAAATGATATGTCATTAAATGGAATCGAATTACTTTTGCTAAAGTTATGAGTAAAAGTATTACGGCTTGTCTTTACTAAAATATATAATACTGTCACATTTTTATGCCAATTACTAAGTTTAGCGACAGTAAGCTGGTTTTGGGATGGAAATACTCAAACAGCAACATACCTCTCTAGCTATTAGTTGCTTAGCAGCATAAGTCATCTGCTTAGATGGTGGCATTCCAGTAAAACGTACCAATTCTTCAAGATTTCTGCAAATTGAGAGCATTGAATTGTCAATACTGAAGGTCCATTCACTGATTTTACTATTATAACAACACCAAAAAGCACAGTGGTCACAACTTTTTTTTTTTTTTTGGAAATTTTTATGTTTTCGCTGGTGTTTTGGGAATACTGTAAAACCTCAAATTGAAGCCCTGTAACATGGAGTGTATTTAACCAGCATTAAATCTCATAAACCACTGTATAAACCAAGCTTGTTTTAATTCTTGTTTTTTGAAATTCATGTACCGTGTATGTACTGTACTATCTCGAAAAGAAGCCTATGGTATCTTGAAAAGAAGCCCATGGGCTGTACAGTGTATGTACTGTACTATCTTGAAAAGATACCATAGGCTTAATTAAGGTTAATTTTGCAAACTAAATAGAGGGAGACTTCAATTTGAGATGAGCTTCATCTGTACTAAGCCCATTGGGCTTCAAATTCAAGGTTTTACGATATTCTTGTCTGTTAAGGCAAGGCAAGTACTATGTATCTGTGATGAAAGGTGCTATAGGACTAATGAAGAAGGAGTGAGTGAATGAATGAAAAATGTCTAGCACATTTAAGCATCCTCAACAGTCAAACTGCCTTTCAATTCAAATTAATTTATTCATCTTCAAAAACACATGCAAATCCAAGTAATAAGATGACTATTCCTCAAAATTAATTTATTATTACTTTCCTAAAAATAATATGTGTACTGCTCAATTAATGATTAAGATGACATAAAAGAGTAAAAATACAATCAAACTTACGGATCAAGAACATAGTTATATTGACCTTCAGGACTTCTTTCTTGTTGATAGGTCAAATTATAAGCTATCATTGTACTGACTAATGAAGCCATTTGCTGCTTTTCTAAGGTGTTAAACAGCTGTGGGTTGACCTATATGGATAATAGATGAAACATCACATTAAATATGCTTGTAGAAGCATGTGACATATAAAGAAAGTAGTGAATATGGAAGAATTAGTGCAGTTAGAAGAATGTGCAGGTGAAAGCGTGTAACACAGGTAAATGTGACACAGGTAAAAGAATGTGGTGCAGGTGGAAGCGTGTGACACAGGTAAAAGAACGTAGTGCAGGTGAAAGTGTGTAACACAGGTAAATGTGACACAGGTAAAAGAATGTGGTGCAGGTGGAAGCTAGTGACACAGGTAAAAGAACATGGTGCAGGTGGAAGAATGTGATACAGGTGAAAGTGTGGCAGGTGAAAGCGTGTAACACAGGTAAAAGAACGTGGTGCAGGTGGAAGCGTGTGACACAGGTAAAAGAACGTGGTGCAGGTGGAAGCGTGTGACACAGGTAAAAGAACGTGGTGCAGGTGGAAGCGTGTGACACAGGTAAAAGAACGTGGTGCAGGTGGAAGCGTGTGACACAGGTAAAAGAACGTGGTGCAGGTGGAAGCGTGTGACACAGGTAAAAGAACGTGGTGCAGGTGGAAGCGTGTGACACAGGTAAAAGAACGTGGTGCAGGTGGAAGCGTGTGACACAGGTAAAAGAACGTGGTGCAGGTGGAAGCGTGTGACACAGGTAAAAGAACGTGGTGCAGGTGGAAGCGTGTGACACAGGTAAAAGAACGTGGTGCAGGTGGAAGCGTGTGACACAGGTAAAAGAACGTGGTGCAGGTGGAAGCGTGTGACACAGGTAAAAGAACGTGGTGCAGGTGGAAGCGTGTGACACAGGTAAAAGAACGTGGTGCAGGTGGAAGCGTGTGACACAGGTAAAAGAACGTGGTGCAGGTGGAAGCGTGTGACACAGGTAAAAGAACGTGGTGCAGGTGGAAGCGTGTGACACAGGTAAAAGAACGTGGTGCAGGTGGAAGAATGTTATACAGGTGAAAGCGTGTGACACAGGTAAAAGAACGTGG